AGAAATACTTAAAAGTAAAATAAATTCAGATCACGAAACTATACAATGATGAATGTTTCTTTCTTAATTTAATTAACAATTGCTGATGAACACATTAAATTAACTCCACACGATCCATCACCACGATATAAACGATAATAACCCTACAAATTTAAATTTTTTTTTATCATAAAAACATTAAATCTTTATCATTACCTTTTCACCCCAATGTGAGCCCCAACTATTTTTTATAATCCAATATGGAATTGACTTTGAACCTAAATTCTCGTATAAGAATATATTTTAAAAGAAAAAGATAAACATACGTTTTTCTTCAATACCATATCCGACAAGTAAAACTCCATGATTAAGCCCTTGTGGATTACAGAACGTACGATGAGGATGAGCAATACCACGAAAATAAAACTTTTATTAAATAAAATATTCAATAAAAAAGTTTAAAAAGAAAAATCCATGACTTACTTGCATCATATTTGCATTCAGTCCAATTGAAATTGGTGCATTATTTGCTAACCATTCAGCCATTTCTTAAAAAAAATAAAATTAATTATCTAATTGAATATAATTTTTCTTTTACCATTTTCATCAGATGTTATATTTAAATATCCATTAATATTAACTTTTATTTTCGTTTTATCTAATTGACATTGATTATGTTGTTTTCCTTCATATTTATAATCTTGTTCAGTCATAAGTCCACCGATATTAATTATTTGATCATAAGCAACAGTCATAAAACCTCCATTACATCCTTCATCAACTTTATCACAATCAACTAATTCTATTTCGAATTAAATTAAGTTAAACAAATAAAAGAAAAATATTATTAATTAACCTTGTTCAGATAATGAAACTAAATCGTCTTTTTTAACTTTCCAAACACCTTCAATATTTCCAGTGACGCTAAATGCCCAACAAGAACCACAAACACCCTTAATAAACGAATTTTATTCTATAAGAAATAGTTTTATTAAGTTTTATACTTGATTTTTCACATCTGTTACAGCACTGTGATTACGCCAATCAAATGATTCTGGTGAAACATTTAATGGATCTTTTAAAGATAATGAAGATTGTAAAATATGTTTTGAAAATGAAAGACGTTCATTTAAATAATATTGAGTAAATTCTTCTTCTAAAAATAAAAAAAAAAAAAAAAAAAAAAAAAAAATTTCTATCAAAACTAAACAAAAAAGAAAATGAAAGACAAACCATTAAGATCACTCAAATGTGTTATTCCATAAATTGCAGTACCTTCTTCTTGTTCATTTAACAGTTCAATTCGATTTAAATTTTCTTTGAAAACCACAAATCGTTTTTCTTTTTCTATAAAAAATAAAATAATTTATCAATTAAAAAGAATATTAAGTAAAATAAAACCTTTATCATCAAGATAAAACTTTTGATGAAGTCTTTGAAATCTATCAAATAATTGTTTATCATAATCATTTAATTCATCATAATTTATATGTTCTACAGGAACTTTTGTACCATACTTCAATCAAATACTCGTTTTCTTATTTTAGTAAATAAAAGAAAGAGTTAACTTACTAAAAAAGGATAAGGAATTTTTTTAGCATTACGTTGAATGTCGCCACCGATTAATTTTTGCTGTTGAGGATCTTGTTCAAGTGAAATACAAATTATTGAACGAGCAAGAGCACGAATATGTCCAATAGGATCATCATAAATGGATACAGGACATTCATATGTCTGCAAATTTTTCAATAATATTTTAATTTATTAAGGATTTATCATCTTTTACTTACAATATTATTATTAGTTGCAATAACTTGAAAATGAACAGTAAATATTTGACGACTATTTTCTAAATCAACCTAAAAGAATGTTTTACTTTTGAATATGAAATATAATTCATGAAATATAATTTACAGCAGTTTCTATTCGAATAATATATGTTGGGCGAACTTGCTCTTCATTACGGAAATATTTTGCTAATGATGCACCAGCAAATGAAATAAGTTCAGCATCAACTGATGACAATTTTTGTTCGTAAATTTTTCTTTCTGATGCATTTATTGAAACAATTAACCAAACAAATAATGAATAAAATAGCCACATTATTTTCTTTTTTTATTTACCCGTAAATATTTAACAAGTTTTTTGAAAAAAACAAAAGATACCAAATCTATTAAGTCACGATGCTAACTGCGTAGCCTGAAAAATGCATCCATCAACTGATCAACATAAACTATCCAATCGAGTATGTGTTTCTAGTTTCTCCTGAAGATGTCACTTAGTAAACGATATTGAAATGATGCGATCAATTTATATTACATTCTGTCTTTTAATTAACAAAAAACATAAGTATTGATTCTTGTAAAGATTTGGAAAAAAAAATCATTGAGAAATTTTTATTTTGAAGTAATTGCTTTTTATATTTCATAAAGAAACGATTATCAAATGAAAAATATGAAATAATTGAAACGAGAATTTGGTTAGAATTGAATTCTCCAAATAGATGAAAGTTAGATGATCAGCAGTTCCAATTAATTGGATATCCAATCGAAGTGATGTTCATATAAGCATCAAACGCAAAATAGACGGGTTCAAACGCGGTTAGCATAATTTTCAAACACATGCAAATATGTATCATATTTAAACAATATTTAAACGCTCTTGAAAAATCTCTTAGAGCGTATAGACGCATTTCAGGATAGGATCTTGATCGAATGCGGCGAAAGAAAAATTTTGAAATGCGTGCAGACGCGTCTTGTTTTATGAATAGCGTTTGTATGCCTTTAAGATCAAAATCACTGCCGTATACTATTTGAAAAGTCTCTGATAAACGTATCTGAATGCGTTTTTATTTGAAACCAATTCTAAAAGCCCATAGCAAAAGCTAATCAAATATAATTATAATCGTTTAGAGCTCATATGCATTACGAAAAAAAAAATTTCATCAACCTCATATATACGTGTTTTCAGTGTCTTATGCTTCAGAAATAAATGTGCACACATGACTACACACATGCCTGCAAACATGCATAAAGTAAAGCTCATTTTATTTCATATGAAACAACTTTCAGCAAGGGAATAAATCAGACATATAAAGATATATCAATTATTAAATAGAAAAAAAAACAGTATATTTGTGCAGATAGGCTTTGTTTTCGATAAAAAAATTCTGGAAATTGAATGTTCAGTGGGAGAGAAAATTAGTCAAAGTCAGACAAGGAGAAGGGAAGGTGAAAAAAATGAGATTTTTACCTAAATATTACTTTTTGGATTATCTTTTTGCTCGTAGTTAAATTATCGAGACAAGTCAATATATTTTTTTTGTAATTAAGTTTTATTTCGATTTAATCCCTCTATGCCTTTCTTATCTGTGACTGAAGTATTTAGAAAAAGACAGTTTTATAATAATCAATGGACTGATAATTTTATTGTTTTTGTTTTAATAAAATTTCTTTTTCCTATATGATTTTTTATTTATATTACATGATTTGACATTATTACTCATGAAAAGAAAGAAAACTTATTGTATGTTTATGAATTTTAAACAAGTCGTATTTGAATTAAAAATTTTTCCAAAAAGATTACTATATAATTGTTGATACATTGAGTGGAAATCATATACATTCTCAGTCGAAATACATATTATTAAAATACTTAACAAAGATGATAATATATTTATGATTTTACTTAGTATTATTAATTTTAGTTTTAAACATATACCATTAACATATTTCCATGTGATTCAAATAGGACAAAAATCATCGGTAGACTGTTCGGTATGATGTGCGCTATATCTGACAGTTAACCTCTTATCAATGATCAGTCTGATAAACAAACATGCAAAATGGACCCATTAGTCAATATATGTATTCGCAAATTTTCTATTTCCTAAATTTACTACATATTATTTATTTTTTATTCGTTCTATGAATCAAATTCGATGATTGAAAAAAAACCCGCTGTATTGTTTTAGTGCAATCCAATGATGAGTAAATGAATAAATACTTTGATGTTGGTTGTAGATAATATATTCTTTCTCAAATTGATATTATATTTCCTTGTAAAATTGTGTCGATAGAATAGATGACTTAAACTGTTTTAAATCTAAAAATGAAATAAAGAGAAAATGTTTTGAAAACATGTTCATGATATTAATTGTTTATAGATAAAACATTTAATCATTTGAAACAATATATAAGACTCATTTTTTGATATCATCTAATTTATCACTTTATGTTTTCATATTTTCGATATTAAAAAATTACTCTTAACATATTTGATTGTTAAAAAAAAGAAATTTTAGAGATATAAAACTCTAAATAGATTATAATATTTTTGATTAATTTGATATAATATTTGCATCAGTACAATCGGTTTCAATGAAATTATTCACATGAAAGAGAAAATCTAACCTTGGCATATGTATTATATATATATATATATATTGGTATTGACAAAACTAAACAGTATAAGTAATAACTATTTATATTGATAGTGATATTCGAGAAGTTCAAGTTTTAAATTGTGAAACTGTACCATTGAATTTTAATCTGAATATTCTTCATTTATATTTTATATTAATTATTATTGAAATTATTGAAGATCAAAGAAGAAAAATTCAATTATTTATTTTCAGTTATTATAGTTCGACATTGTTGAAAACAATTCTTATATGTAGTTAAGATATAATGTATATTTATATCTTATTGAGGAATAATTGCTGGTGTGATTTATTCGCTAAAACCTATATATAAAATAGTGTCTATTGTAATTATACTGTAATGATTTGAATGATTAATAAATATCCTATATTATATATTTTCAAAGAATATTTCATCAAGCTCAATATTGAAAAACAGTTCAAATAAAATTGATAAATTGATTCATAAATATCTTCAACAATAATATTTCAATCAGATTAAAGAATTTCAGAATTTTTATTTTAATCAACTGTCTTACATAAGGAATTTATGTAAATTCAAAAATTATATAGAGGAATTACAGAGAAACAAAAAAACTTTTTAATCTTCATCTGAATCAATTATAGGTTCGATAAAAGATTGAATAATTTGACGAAATAAACGATTAGCTATCTGTTCATATTGTTTTTCTTGTTCTAAAGCTTGTTTATCAAGAATTTTAGCACTTTTGAGACCATTGAAATATTCAGTACAGTTTGATAAGAAAAGCTCTGTATTGTTGTCATTTTGAATGTAAGATATGAATTGTGCTCGTTCTTGAAGAACTTGAGTAAATGATCCGTTGGATTGAAGATCATTTATCAGCTGTCGAGTTTGATTAAGAAACGATTGAGTCAATGTATCGTTGGCACATATATTTGATACCCATGAATCTTCATTACTATCGTCAGACGGATGATGCCAATGTCCTCGATTAGGAGGTCTTCGATGAGGACCACCATAAGCCGAAACAAGAGCCAATAATAACTATAAAAAGAAAATAAAGTAAAAAGAGGTAACATATTAGATTAAAAAGAAACTCACGAGAGTGATGCAGACGAGAAGTTTAGTCATATTCGTGTTTTACTTGTGTTTAACGACAACACACTTTTCGTCTATATTTATATGCGGACCGACGTTAAAGCTCACGTGAGAAAGATCAAAAAAAAGAAATAAAGTACGTTTTTTTAAATATAATTATAATACAGATTTAAAGTGAAACACGTTTGAGTAGTACTTTTTCTTATTGACCTTATTACTTATTTGCATGTTTATTATACTGTATAGTCAGGTTTCTCATAGAAAAACAGAGTGTACACAAAATAGATTATACAGTGCCATTTGACAAAAATAAACGAACTTACATTTTTTTTACGAGCAAATTTCCAGATAAATTATTGAGTTTATACGCAAAAGAAAAGTACAGACATGACATTGCTACTTGATGAAATGAATAATATACGCACTTTCTTTCTAATAAGAATAAATTTGAATTTTTTCTTCTATGCAAAAATTAGATTTATGCTGTTAAATAAAAAAACATATTCATTTTACTTTATCAAACAACCAATCAAGCTGTATCTGATAATATTTTCTTAAAATATTTTATCTATTTAATATTTAAGATGAATTATGTGTGGTCAGTTCTACCCCAAAGATTTTCGGAAAACGATAGACATTTGCAAGCAGAAGTGCGATGTCCGAAACCAGTTGTCGGTTTTTCTAGCTTCCAACTAGAAATATATACAAACAAGCATTGATCTATGATATTATATTAATGGACACCATTATGTCATTCATTTTCTTTTGTAACTGACGATTTGAAAGAAAAATAAATCTTTCCAACCAATAGTTATTATAACAATCTGTAGTTATTTCAAAGAAGATATCTACTGTATATAAGAAGTTTAAACGAGCTATTGGACTTGTCAACCTGAGACTGGTACAAATTGTAGTTTAGAGCCTCTTGTGGATTAGATATGTTAGAACAGGACATTAAATAGGCTGCTTGAAATGGATAGATCGTCTGTCTGTAATTTTTTCAAACTTTCGAAAAATATCTTCATTCTTTTACTAGAAAATGTAATTATCAAAAATTCAATTGGATTACTTTCAATGCAACAAAGTGATGAATGATTTTTTTTTAATCATTTTTCATGGACACAATTATAATCAGTCACTGTTTGCTTCGTAGCTTTTCAGAGACAAGTTAGAATGGGACAAAACTATGGATTTGTAGACTTTCGGTTATGTTATTTATTTTGCAATAAAGAAATATAGTTTGGTCAAAATTTTCGAGAGTATAAATGTGTTGACCGATGTTCGGTATTTTTATAAGTCATCTCTTAAAATCACACATATGGATCAATTGTATCTCTAAACATAATATCGTTTGATTCTATTTTAATAATGAATTCTAATAGATCTGCAAATATTT